ACACGGACTGTTTCTCCCGCAACCGAGCCTGTTTGATGCGTGTGGGGAGGGTTGCGTAGAGGGCGATGAGCGACGACGGGGAGGTGTATTCTAGATCTCTATTCTTACTCGGACATGGCATGATGGTGTAATGCTTGAGCCAGCCTTGTCGAAGCGTCAGCTATGCTCGTTTAGCGATAGGCCCGTGGGCGCTTGCGACCACCACACGACGCAGCACACTCGCAGCATACAGCGCAGCACACATTGCCTGAGGCGACAGCGCACGACACACGACCAGAAGCAAAAAGCAGCGCGGGTGCAGATTCGAGGGACCAATCTCGCGGGCGTGTGGTGAGTGCGACGGGGTGAATGGCTTCTTTTTGTATGACCCACTAAGGCGCCCCTCGGCCAATCAGCGGCGCGCACCGCCTCGCTCGACAGCTGCTTCCCTCTCCGGTCTTCCCAGGTTCCTCGTCCACCTTCTCTCCTCCCACCACCTCCCGCCCGCCAACACCTAGGGCGTCTCCTCACCCACCATGCACAAACTATCCAACTTCCCGGCACAGGCCCGCCACGGCTGGGAGAAAATGGCCCCGTCGACGGCCTTCTCCTTCTCGCGGTCCAACCACGAAATGCCCGTCTCCGCCCCGATCAAGCGTCCCTCGACGGCCACGTCCGCCCCGCCCGTCATCGCGCCCGGCACCCAGGTCAACGTCTCCTTCAACGTGCCCTTTTCCTCCAACCTCGCCGGGCCCGACCCGGACGACATCATGTGGGCGAGCCCGGGGGCAAAGGCGCGCTGGACCCATCCGGAAGGCACGGCAGACCAGACGCCCACGCACAAGCTGCCCGTTCACGCCCAGAACGTTGACAACCTGCGGAACCTGTGCAGAGAAGTGAGCGAGCAGACCGACGGACGCGTCTCGGCCAACGTGACGTCGGCCGAGTCCAAGCCGCTGCCCGGCCTGCAGCGGGGCCCGCTGCGGGCGCTCGTCACCAACGTGTGCCTGTCGGGCGAGCTCGAGATCGTCAACTCGATGCGCTGCCGCATCCTCAACTCGACGCCCATCTCTCTGGTAGGCTGCTGATGCTGCGCACTCCGCCTCTAGCCCACATGCTGACGTCTTGGCACAGCGATCGTCTTTTGTCGATATTGACTCGCAGCTCATCATCGACCCGCCCACACAGAACGTCAGAGGCGCCGTGCTCAACCAGCTCGACCTCATCTCCAAGGCCACCAAGGCCGACATCTTCCTGCTCATGCCCAAGCAGCCCGACATCGAGACGGCCAGCTTCCATGGCAACATCGACACGGGCATGGACCCGCGCCTGCGCTGTGCCATCTACGGCGACCTCGAGACCATGGAGCACGCGAAGACGCGTGTGCTGATTATGATCGACCAGATCGTGAGTTCTCAGAGCCCCACAGATGCCCGCTAGCGCACCATGCTAATTCGATGCCGTCACAGCTCAAGCGAACCGTCGATACCATGAAGCTCGAGCTCACCATGCACACCCTGATATGCGGACGCGGGCGCAAGAACATCAAGATGATCGAGTCTGCCACGGGCACCGCCATCTACTTCCCCCCGCCCTTCCCTCGCCTGTTCGGATACACGCCGCCCGGTGCTCAGCGAAGGCCTGATGACCTAGTATACATTACGGGTGAGAACTCGGAGAATATACTGCGCGCCAAGCAGCGTCTGCACGATCTAGTCATGTCCACCAAGGTCTTTGTGAAGCCTGTCATGGTCACTGATACCAAGCTCGATGCCATCTTGCTCGAGCGTCTGGACAAGGTGCGCAAGATCATCGAGAACAACGGCTCGTACATCCTATTGCCCCCTCTTGGCGTTCAGCGTGGTGTTGTGCGTGTTCAGGGCACTGACGTCTTGCATGTCGAGCGAACTGTGCGCGAACTGATGCAGCTTGTAAGTTCGACATGTTCTTCATCTTGGATCTATACTAACAAGCCTTAGGCCGGCCAATTCTACAGTGCCTCGTGGTTCATTACCCACCCCGACCCCACACAGCGCCCACCCACACCCGCCGACGTTCGCGCCATGCTCTCTGATATCTGCATCAACTCTGGCGCCGAAGTCAGCTTCGAAAAGCTCAACTTCCACATCTATGGATCCGACGATGCTGTCAGAGCCGCACTAATGGTCATCAGCAACATCCCATTCGTGAAGAAGTCGCAGTACAACATGAGCGTCAAAATTGAGCTTGCCAATGAGCACAAAGAGTTCGTCAGTGGTAAGAAGAACGGCAAGATCAACAAGATCATGAGCCACAGCAGTGTGCAAATCGTCTTCGATGGCTTCAACGAGTACAACTTCTACATCGTAGTCCGTGGTGCCCAGTACGAGGCTACAAAGAACGGTCTAGACCTTGTCGAACAGGAGATGCCTGCTTCCATTTCCTTCCATGTCCCTGATCAGTACCACAAGCGCATTATCGGCATCGGTGGTCAGCACATTCAGCGCATCATGAAGAAGTATTCTGTCTTCGTCAAGTTCTCCAACGCCATGGACCGTGGCGGCTTTGGTAAGGAGGAAGATGACATCAAGGTCGACAACGTCATCTGTCGCACCCCTGCGCGTAATGCTCAGAACCTCGACTTGGTCAAGCAAGAGATCATGGACATGGTTGAGAAGGCCGACGCCGAATTTGTCTCTGAGACCATCAACATCAACCGTCTGTACCATCGGGAGCTTATTGCTCGTCTAGACAAGATCGATGAGTTGGAGAAGAAGTTCAACTGCAAGATTACATTCCCTAGCACTGAGGAAGCCAGCGACATTGTTACAGTGTCTGGACCTGAGTATCAGGTACCTTTTGCAGTTGACGAGTTCTTGGGTATGGTTCCAGAATCCCATGATCTCGCCTTCCCATCTACCACGGAACTCAGCGAGCACATCCGCTCAGCCGAGTTCAAGGCTGAAATACTTGACAAGCTCAAGACTCAGCACGAGGTCGATGCCCAGCTTCAGCAAGCGCAGACCGAAACTGTCGACGGCAAAGAAGAGACGATTGAAGCATTCCACATTGTCTTCACCAGAAACAATGCTGGCGGACTCAAGGATGCCATCGATTTCTTACTTAACCACCTAGTCATGCATGGCCTTGACACTAACACTGTTCGTGGAGCTCTTCCACGTCCCAAGTCGGACTCTTTCGAAGACTCTCTGCCATTCTTCGAGTCCAAGCTGCTTCAGCGCGCAGAGCCAGCTGTCGACAGTACCGACTCACCTACACGCTCTCACTTTGGTGATGATGAGCCTCGTGGTATGCTCGACCGCCTCCGCAAGCCAGGCAGCATGTCGTCCTTCACGTCCATTTTCAACGGACGCAAAAACACCAACTCACCTGGATCCCTTTTCAAGCACGCTTCGAGCAATGCTTCCAAGGCATCCCTCGCCAGTCTGGAATCCACCGGTAGCTACCGCAACCCGTGGAACGACAGCGGCATCAACCTTGCGGACGACGAGCACCACAACAACGGCTGGCCCATGCCAGCACCTCGTTTCGAGTCCAAGTTTCCTTTTGGTTCCTCTTCGGCGGCGCCTGGGGACGTGACCCCTAGGTACGACCCGCGGGGCTCCGTGGACAGCGGGCGCCCCAGTACTTCTCATTCTGCATCTGGATACCCGGCCCCTATTGGGCCTCCTCGTTAAGTGATACACCAATCTCGAACCATTTATTTGATACCACTACTGTAACCGGCCTTTAACGACGAATACCCCGCTACGCGTTCATTGTCTCTTGTACGTGTGCGACGACAAAAGAATTATACCCCCTCCTACTCTACGGCGAAATATCCCACGTCAAAAGCCTAGCCTGGCTGGTTGTTGTTGTTGCTGTTTGCGTTTTCTGTATTGCGTTTGTCTTTTTGCTTGTTTACGGGCGTTTCCTCCCTTTTGCTTTGCTTTTGCTGAATGATTCCCCGAATTACGGCGCAAAAAGAATATATACCAATTTGCTGCTTTTGTGGATTTGTTGCGCTTTTGTGCGTTCGTTCATTGTGCGCTCACTACCGCTGTGAGATGAGAAGGAGGAAGGGATATACGATGGGACGATGATACCCCCTGCCGGCACTGCCTGCCAGCCGGCCGTCGTGAGACGGACATACTGGTGGGCTAACGATATGGTGTATGGGTAGAACATTTGGGTCTTTTGGTATAAAACACAGGGGGTTGACGTGTGCTGGCTCAATGTATCGAGCGGATTTTCTCCTATCTACTCTCTCTTTTCTCTCCACTCTCCGTGTTGAAGAACATGGGCATGCTGGAGATGTGAGGATAAATGATAGATGAACGGAAGGCACATTTACACCCCATGGTATTCGCCTCGTTTCGTGCAATGTGATGCTTATGTTCGGCTGGAGGTGAGCGTGCTCCATGTCTGCAACATCAGCATTCTCCCAACAGCGCATGCGCATGAATGTTAGAAAGACTCTTCACGCATTTTTCGCCGGAAGGACAGATAGTAAAGTCCATGAGATTTGGTGGAATGTGAAGAAATAGGCATAACGAGTTTCAGAGGTAGGCCGATGAGACATCCAAGGAAGCCAGGATACAATCCCGCTACTTCTCATATTGTAGCGATGTAGTGGCTGAGAGAGACTCATGGGGTCGTATTTCCAACCGCATGATCACTTTTGTTACAAAATCATGGTGTGGCAATGGCTGTCGATTATTTAGCAGTCTCATGAACTCCATGACAACTCTCCGCTATTTGAGGACGAAACAGGCACAATACATAATTAGACAATCTTGAATGTTATTCTTAGTCACTTGGACCGATTTGAAAGTTCATCTAAGGTACAAAGCCTTCTGTAGTGACACTGTCAACTATCCTCATCTTCGTCCGTCACTGAATAGTGTTTCCTCCTCCATCATGCGTCGAGCTATAGATAGCATCGTGTGATACAGTACAGTCCAAACAAACATATAAAGCAGTACAAGTCCGCATCACCCGACGCACTAGTCGTCGAGCTTCTTCAGAGAATCAAATCTATTCTACCGCTTGGTCTTCTTCTTGGCGGCGACGACCTTGAAGTTGCTTGAGTCGAGAGGTTGCTGCGCCTGTTGTTGCTGGATAGTGCTGGCGCCGCCCTTCTTGGCGACTTCAGACCAGCCACTACCTGCGGCCTTGTTCTCGGCAGGGGAAGCAGTGTTGCGTTCGTCAATGATGCCCTTGTCGGCGAGCTTGCGGCGGCGGAGGAACTCTTCAGCGAAGTGGCGCGAGTCGAGTGTGTTGGAGGCGGAGTGTACAGATTCTGTGATCAGCTCGGCGTCGGCTGGGAAACTGAGGAGAGAGGAGACAAAGTCTTCGGCTATTGAGAGTTAGTCTGTTGTGCGAAGAATTGTTAAAGCGGATTCTTACCATTGATACCCTTGTTAAGGTCATGACGGAGCTCGTTGACAGCCCACTTTCGGAACTCCTCTTCAGCGTTGAGCTTTCCAGATTGTCCTCCCATCGTGGCACTACGCGTAACAGCGGGCTTCTTGGCAAGCGAGGGTACAATGGTTGAGCTAGCGGAGCGAACGGCGGCAGGCACAGGAGTGGTAGTGCCTCCTGGTGTCTTGACCTTACCACTTGCACCAACAGTGGTCCATGCAGTGCTGCCAGCAGGCATAGCAGCAGCCAGCACAGGGGTGCTCTTGCTTGCCAAATCAGCATATCGCTTACCACCCGATGGAGCTGGAGCGGCGGCACCAAAGGCGTTCGCAGCTGCAACAGCCTGTGCAGTAGCTCGTTGCTTTCGAGCTTCCTCTTCCTTCTGGATCTGCTGTAGGGTCTTCTTGGAACTAGCTGTGGGCTGTGCGGCGACCTTGGTGGCAGCAGGCTTTGTCCAAACAGATGCATTGGTCGCACTGGGCGTTACAGGTGACGCACCACTCGCCCAGGTCGAGCTTGAAGGCAGGCCAGGTTGGACTGCGGGTGACTGGTTCTGAGCTTGCATCTCCTTCTCAAAGGCCTCGCGGCGAGCTGCTGCTGCGGCAGCCTCGCGCTCTGCAGCCTTCTTGGCTTCCATCTCTTGGATCTCCCTCAATGAGGGTCCACGAGATGCGTCAACAGGTTCCTTCGCCCAAGGCGCAATGGATACACTGGGAGTGTCGGCAGCGGGAGTTGCCGCACCAGAACGGGACTCGGTGTTGAGGTTTTCAGCAACGATGGGCTTCCTCTGAGCAGCTGGGGCGGGCAGTGGAGACTGCGATGGCGGAGGCGGGAACGGGAAGATGGCGGGCTCGACTTTATTCCATGCGGCTGCCGGTTGAGGGGAATGCTTCGCGGAAGCAGCTTTCTGAACCTGTTCAGTAAGTGACAGGGTCTCTTGACCAGCAGCATGTCCCTCGTTGTGATGCTCGGCTTGATGATCTTGTGCTTCGCGTTCCTCGGGAGAGGCAGGCTCGGATTGTTCTTGCGATTGCTGAGCAGACGAATTTGAAGGCTTTCCAATAACACCTTCTGGTGGAGGAGCTGCCTTGGATGATTGTTCCATGTCCGTTTGGACTCGCAAGTCGTTGAATTCCGCGAAGCGGTCGGCAAAGTTGCGGGCATTTTGCATGTCTTCAGGGCCACCGGGGCGAATCGCGGCGTCATGCTCAGCCTGCTCACGCTTGAGTCGAGCACGGTCGCCAATCACAGAAGCCATATATTGTGCGTGCGCATCAGAATCTTGCTGCTGACCGAAGGCAAATGGAGGCTGGTTGTTGCGTCCGAGGTTGAGACGGTCCATCATGCCGGGCATGTCTTGCTCTCTCCTGTTGTTCATCATGTCCATACCGGGGCCGATAGGACCCAGACCGGGGACAGGACCGGGACCAGATCTGAAAGTGTTGTCCATAAGCCCTGGAACAGACGCTCCTACCGTGGTGCCATGGGTAGGCGATGGCTGATATCCACCTGGAGATGTGATACTACCAAAGCTTGGTTGGCTATGTAGGCTCTGCGCGCTGGAGTGGTGGTTGAGTTGATTGGGCAAGACTCCTCCCATCTGAACCTGACGGGCAAGCGCTTGTTGCTGCTGAGCCAGGTGCTCTTTTTGGCGAGCCATGAGATACTGCTCCTCTTGCTTTCTGCGCTCGAGGGCATTCTGTTGTTCGGCAGTAAGGGTGGTCCCAAAGCTTGGGAAACTATTCGCGAAAGGAGGCTGGGCGCCTGGAGCGGTAGCAGTACTAGGGCCAGCACCTGCCCAAGAATTGCCGGGCTGAGACGTTGCAGGGCCATGCGGAATACCGATCTGAGGGACCAGGAAGGGCTCGCGGGAGTTACCGATTCGCCGAATAAGCTGGGCCAGGGGCTCGTAATCGGGCTCTTCAGCCTTCTTCACCAGCAGCTCAGGCGAGAAGAAGCCGGCCTTGTACCAGTCGTGCATCTCTAGGCCGGAGAACGGTCCTTGAACGTTGCCGGAAGGGTCGCGATAGATCCACCTCATCCTGTCAGGCATAACCATCATCCGCTGCTGAGGCACAGGTGGTTGACTAGAAGCTGGGCTTCCAACGCCTGGGGTCGATGGCTGTGCAGTCCTAGTCGGGTTAAGAGCGGCCATAGAGAGTGAAGTGGTAGCCATATTCGGAGGCTGTCCGGACGAGCTATGGTCGTCATGGTGGGCATTGGAGAAATCTTCAAACAAATTGCGGTTTGCGCGGAACGGGCTTTCAGTGTCACGCGCTGGTGCCTGTCCACCAAACGCATTTCTGCCAAAGGTACCTGTCATGCTATGTTGGCGGTCACCATGCGAGGAGTTGTCGTCAGCGTGCGCTCTGTTCGGGTCATTGGATCGCATCTGTTCTTGCATCGAGGGCGGGAACAGAGAGCCAAGTCTACTAGAACGGCCTACTGTGGCATGACCGAACAGCGAGCTGCTTCCCAGACCAGCCAGAGAGGGCGACTGAGCCTCGCCAACATTTCCGAAAGCGCTGTCAAAGCCACCCAGGCCACCACGTTCGCGAGTCGGAGTGCCCATAGTGTGGTGTCCAGTAGGCCAGGCTGCAGACCCTCCGAGACCAGGCAGGCCACCAAGCCCAGGCAGAGTTGGGAATCCTCGAGCGGGGCCAACGCTGGAGGTTTGGCTGCGATCACTAGCTGCAGTTTCGAATGGTGCGGACACTTTGCCCAGACCTCCGAGCCCACCAAACGCGTTGTGAATGCTCGAGTGAACAGACTGGTCGATATGGAAGCTACTCATACCAGGGAAGTGTGCATTCTGGTCGCCGGAATCGTCCGAGTCGTCATTATGCTGATCTCGTGCGTGGTGCGGGCTCTGGTATGGATTCGTGTCCGTCGGGCTCATTGGCTCGTTGCCTCGATGGGGTGATTGATCCGTAAAGTTATTCCTGTTGTACATGTCGCGAAGACCAGTGTCGGCGGTCGTCATCCCAAATGCGGATAATCCAGAATCGTCGCGGTGGTCGGGGCGGTGGGGCGTTGCGAAATTGCCGAAGCCTTGTGGCCGGGGCGGGCTAACGTCTTCGCCGCGCAACGCAGCACTGCCAGTTGGGTGGTCGTCTTCGGGGAATGGATCTGTGTCGTTACTCATTGGCCTGTTGGTGCGAGATTCCATCCACGAACCGCCTGCCTTTGAGGACTCTGCCTCGCTTAGCCTGCCCAAGTTGCTCATGGAAGCTTTCTCTTTCGGCCCGTTCCCGAAGTCCTCGATGCTCGGCTTGCCCATCAATCCCTTAAACCGACTCTCACCACGCAGACTCCCGTAGCCGGGCTTTTTCTCAGACTGCGGCGCTGCAAAGCTTCCAAAAGCGCCAAAGCCACCACCAGGAGTCGCAGACCAGGGCGAGGTACCACCACCTGGGCTGAAGGGCGCGGTAGTTGTGCGCTTTGCAGAGCCAAATGCACCAGCGCTGTCGGCCCCGCCTTTTTCTTTTTCACGCTCCTCACCGGGGCGACCTTCTACAGGCTCCTTATAGTCTGTCCGACGGCGTACCAGGGCGGGCGGCGGTGTGACGGCACTGCCTTCTTCGCGCGCGAATCGTGAGGTGGCGGGCGACGAGGGGAACGGATACGCGTCGCTGGTATCGCGGCGGCGGGTGCCTGGGCGCGCGCTCGTGGGCGAGGAGATTCCGTAGGGAGTGCCTGGGCCTTGCGACACAGACGTCTTCCGGAGCGAAAGGCCTTCCTTGGGAGTACCGTCTTTGTTCTGCGTGGGTGGTTTGAGCGGCGAGTTGACAGACGAATGGAAGATCTAAGCGAAGAAGCGCGCGTTAGTACATGCTAGGAAGGTGCGATGGGGTGAGTGCCTACTTCTCTCTCATCGTCGGTCATGTCAGTCAGGCTGAGTGGCAATACGCTACCATCTCTGTCCCAGCACTGGTCGACCCCGCTCGGCGCCTCCCTCTCCCGACCGTGGTCGTCTTTGCGGCCCCAGGAAGCACTCGAAGCACCGTTCGTAGCATGAGGCTCCCATCCACCCATGTACAAACTAGACAGTCCGTCGTTGAGGTCGCTCGACGCTTGCTGTATCCGGAACAGCTGTGTCAATTGATCCCGCGAGTAGCGACCCTCGAACGAGCTGCCATTGCGGCCAGGCTGTGCGTGGGGCGGGACATATACGCCGGCGCTGGTTGACGAGTTCTGTGGCGCGGCAGGGTCTCGTGAGGATGAGTGGTTCGTTGAGCCGGAGAGGCTTGTCGCGTGTGAAGGTCGGCGGAATGTTTGCGTGGCACCGTTGGTACGTCGAGCCCTGGTATCCGGGATTAGTGAGGGAGCCATGGTGGTAACGAGGGATGTAATAAATAAGGAAAAAATTAATCTGTGTCGTGCCTATCGATTTGACGTAACAAATGTGCTGATGTAGCGCGGAGTGGTGTTCACATGGGGTGCAGTAGGGCGGACTTACCAGTCAGCGCCGGAGTCGGGACGCGCTGGATTCGCACTGTTTCCTGCAGCTGCCGAAGCAAAAGAAGTAGGCGCCATTGTGTGGTGGTGTCGTAGTGGGTGCGGAAGCGGCTATGAGACGAAAGCGTGGTGTCGAGGCCAAAAGATTTAGTGTGGGGATTGTGGCAGGCGAGTGGTGGAGGCAGGTGCAGTCGAGATGATGTCAGGCTTGCAGCGGTTTGGTGCTAGGAGCGTCGGGAGTATTGGCACAGTTCGTCGTGGCGTAGTTCGGGTGGGAGATGTAGTCGTATTGCGGCGACAGAAGAAGAGCTTCAACCATCGGCCAACATTTGAGGTTGGCTGGAGCCGAGATGGGCGCACGTGACCTCGTCGTATTATGGGGACTGGGTTTTTCTTCTTCGTTCCCGCCACAACGCGTCCACGCGTCGCGCCTGCCGAATCTAATTGACTAATGACGTCTTATTCGGATATCGCATCCATGCCTACGTGTGATTACCCCTACTGTGCCTTCCAATGTTCTTCGTTCTCCAAATCTCCAAGTCAACCTGCTGCAAACACGGCAGGCACGCCTCGATCCACATACCCAAGACATGCCCTTGTGAGGAAGGGGAAGGTGCGATGTGTCATCTCGCTCCGTCGCATCGGCCTGGTACTCGCCGCGGCATTCTTCCAGGCCGGCTTCATCAACCTTGACAACTACCCATAACGACTCATTCCCCGACTGTTTGCTGTTCTGTTCGCTGAGGACCGTTTCGCATCGTCATTGCCGCACTCAATTCCGTCGGCTTCTCGCCTTCGACTTGGAACAGGATTCTCTGCCATTCTTCCTGTCTGTAGCTGTCATATTTGGGTCTCTACATTGCAGCTTCCATTTGGTTTCCAACCGTATTGCTGGATTCCGTCCAGTCGACTCGCATCACCAAAGGAACATAGTTTGCTCTCTTTCCGATAAGCCAGGTGTTTGCTTGGACTCTACTCGTACACCATAGTGACACCAAAACGCCAACCACTGCTGACCTTGTGTCGTACAGGCCTGCTACGGCCGGAGCATCGCCTTGCCAGCGACAACTTTTGTGCTGGCCTCACCTGGGTTCCTAGTGACTGCATCGCGTTATGTGCCTCCAACCATCCGTACATGACTAGTTTACGGACAGCTCGTGGCCGTCACAGGTACATTGACCCAGCTAGCGGCACATTTGCTTTACTACAAAGTTAGCTATGCAGCCCGGCCAGGTTTCGGAACTTCTTTCGCCTTTTATGTAACACAAAAGGTTGTCAAACAACTCACCTCACATCATTGCGCCTTAGTCACCTGCCTTCCCAAAAGGCCACCGATATACACCATAAACCCCCAAGCAGAACCGTACACACAGAATAGCCCGAATCATTGCTAACAAAAGCTTCGTCGAACCAACGCTCAAAGCTGCCTTCCGTGGTCGAAGGACAGAGACTGGGTTTAGATGGCTGGATTAATGGGCTTTCCTGCTCGGGGTTTTCGTCCAAACCAATCCTACGATGAATCATATAGCAGCGACAGCGACACTTTTGGACGAGACCCACGCGATCAACGGAGGAGGTTTGCGGACTTCCAAAGACAAGCATATCTACACAGGTTCCAGGACCAGCAATCGACCCCTATGAATATGGGAGGTTTCCAATTGCCTTTTTCGAATCGCGAGAGAGCCAGTCCTATGATGGGACCCTATGCGCAGTTCGGCATTCCTTCGCCTCTTGGTATGGGTATGGGTGGAGGTCGCATGGGTGGCATGGGCTTTGGAACGGGCATGGGAGCGGGAATGGGGCTGGGAATGGGAGGAGGCATGGGAATTGGCAGAGGCGGAAGTATGGGGTTCCCGGGTCGGCCGCCCTTCCTAGGCGGTTCACCGATGGGCTATCGGCAGCCTTCGCCATTCGGACTAGGCCATTCACATCAATCACACCCAATGTTTACGAACCGCCATCGCCAGAACGCCCAGTCATCATGGCCTCAATCCCGTCGCAGCACCTTCGTAAGAAGCTTCTACGATGACGACGAGGATGACGATGAGAGCGATTACGATACGTCTTCGACATACAATTATCCGAGGCGGCGAAGAGGAGGGGGCGTGGGACAGTTTAGGCGTTCGCCCTACCAAAATCGACATACACCCCGCTGGATGCATGGTCATAACAGGCGATATGAAGAATATGACGATGAGGACGACGAAGACGATGAAAGCGATTACGAAGATTACTACCCAGTACGTCGCCGAAGGCCCAGATATTAGTTGCTCTTGCGAGGCTGTATCCACCGCTGTTCGAAGAAAATGGCTTCGCAGCATCTCCAAGAAACAGAGCGTCTGCTTTGGTCAATGTCGTTGAAAGTGAATGAATCACACAACCGGGCGCTTAGCCAAATAATGCAAATGTCCAAACTGGACTCTACTCTGCGACTTTATCGGTTCGTTTGGAAGGATCACTCCATTACTAATCCGCGTTGTCGCCAGATCTTCCCATCAGCGAAGCCAGAGATCAGCGTTGTTTGCTCGTATGAACGAACAGTCGTACCAGACGCCCTTGGTACCACTAGCATCGTTACACGCGCGTGTCACTGACCCGTGAAGAACGGAACGCAGTCTCCCGAAACTTTGCCATCCTTCCGAGCAGCAAACGCACCCTATCAGTGTGGAAGACGGGTGGTGTTTGCGCAACGTGAACGCCCGTTTGGAACTATCGATTGCGCGAAATGCCACTCACAGTGTGGATGGGATTTTCGTCCGAGACCAATGACATGTCTGCATCCTTCACGGTTGTGCGACTGCTTATTCCAGGGCCACGGTAGCTACGATGAACGAACGGAAGAGGCGAACATCGTGACCCCATTCCCAGGCCATGCGCCCGAACTCGTGAAGATCTTGAGGAGACCACATCTCAGCCGCAGCAAAGGAGCATGGAAGCGAAATCAGCGAGAAAGCTTCGCAATCGTGATGCATAAAGTGATGGGATTCCGTCGGTGTATCTCTTCGTCAGAAATACGCCATCTTTATCCTCACAATCTTACCAGATCTGTCTTGGTTGAGTCTCATAAACACTCGCGTCAGCTTCCAGAAAGAGGTTTATTCGCTATGTGTCTTCTCTTCCATTATTCTTACCGCTGCCATCCGTCCAAACCAGAGACACTCCTTCTGCCCTGTCATCACCATCCATTGATAAGCAATGAGAACCGAATATCAGTGCCGGAAGAGCCAAAGGAGAGTAGGACATGCCCAAGGCTGTGGAAAAAGGAGATTTCGTCACCGCACTGTGTTGGGTGCCTGGCAAGGCTGAGCAGGCATGGCATTGCGTTACGAGAGAGGGAAAAAGAGTGCATATGACGACCCAGTGCGGTGGAACAGGCTCACAGCTTGTACGCTTATGGGAGGCGACAGCATTCAAGTCCTCTGCGCAGCATATCCGGTAAGAAGATGAGGCATCGCTTGAAGCCCGGCCTGCGAGTCTCAAACAAGCAGCCTAACATTGCAAGGCTACCCAGGTATCATCATGCGACCACCAAATGCCTTGCCCCAGTTGCCTAAAGGCGACCAGGTTAACTCCAGAAAGCCCAGACCCAGAGTATCTTATCGCACGCGCCAAGTTCCTGAATGCATGTCAGCCCGCATACACAAGCCTCTTTGCCCAGCCAGTCGAGTCCGAAATCGCGCAGAGCCCACATCAACCATCAAACCTCGGCGAGACAAGTCTTCGGGACAGCCCTTAGCTACTGCAGCCAAGCTACCATTCTCTTGGATCTCACCGCTTGATCTTTGATTCACAACCACTGAGAAGGACGTTAACGTTACACGATGCTATCGGTCTCGGGAGATGGGGACGAATACAGCAACATGCATGAGGAGCGTACTACAACAAAGAAACTTTTCAGAAAGCGCGTTGGGGTCTGGAACGTCGCGGCTGCATCAATACAGTAGGAGGCTTCACTACTACTTCGCCGAAGTCATGGTCAGCACGAGATGTGGGGAGTACATGTATGAAGCGCAGCTCGGGAAACATCTACATGCTCTGCGGTTCTTAAGATTATCGCACAATACAAGATGACAGAAAAGAAGACAGACGCTTCTTTTGTCGCTCCCATACCATCGGATACCTCATACGAAGATGTCGAACCCAACGGCTTCGATGCAGTCGCTACCAAGAAGCTTCTCCGCAAACTGGACTGGCATCTTATACCATTCATGTCGCTCATTTACCTGTAAGCTCCTTCTCCGACAGACCGTTCCCGTACCATCAACTGATCGCTGTATAGCTTGTGCTTTTTAGACCGCACCAACATCGGCAACGCTCGCCTCGACCACCTCGAACAAGATCTCAAGCTACACGGCCTACAGTACAATGATTGTCTCGCCGTCCTCTTCCCCTTCTACATCGCCGCCGAGATACCATCGAATATCATGATGAAACGGACCCGGCCGTCTATCTGGCTGACATTCATCATGTTCTTCTGGTCACTAGCGATGATACTGCAAGGTTTTGTGAAGAACTATTCGGGGCTAATGGCTACACGAGTCTTTCTGGGGGTGTTTGAAGGAGGACTGTTCCCGGGTGTCAACTACTATATCTCGCAATGGTGAGTCTTCACCCCAGAAAGCTGGCAGACGAATCCTGAATGCAGTGCTAACTTAACCGAAGGTATGTGAGAGACGAGTGCGGCTTCCGCATGGCTCTCTTCTTCTCCGCTGCAACGCTCGCCGGAGCCTTTGGCGGCGTCCTAGCCCGTGGTATCGCCGAGATGTCCGGTGTTGGTGGAAAAGCAGCATGGGCATGGTAATACATCACTTACAAAAAGATCAAGGAATCTACCTACTAACACGAATAAAGGATATTCATCCTAGAAGGCCTCCTCAGCATCCTCGTCTCAACAATAGCATACTGGTGTATATACGACTACCCCGAAACGTCCGTCCCCTCCTCGTTCCTCACTCCCAACTCATCTAACACCCACGCAGCGCCCGCTTCCTCACCCCCAAAGAACGCACAGAAGTCCAACGCCGCCTCCACGCAGACCACGGCCACCTCTCCAACGACTTCGATATGAAATACGTCTACCAAGCCCTCACAGACTGGAAGATATACATCTTCATGCTAATCTGCATGGCGGGCTTCTGTCCCATCTACTCTTTCGCCCTGTTCCTGCCTACCATCATCAAGAACATGGGCTACACTGCCAACGACGCCCAACTCATGTCCGTCCCGCCATACGTCTGCGCGTGCTTCTTCACCATTGCTGCGAGCTGGTATGCGGATCGCGTGAAGAAACGGGGTGTCTTCTTGATGGGCTTTCAGGTCGTGGCTATTGCGGGCTTTGCTATGCTTGCTGCGACGGGGAGGCCCAGTATACAATATGCGGGTACGGTGCTTGCGGCTATTGGGATTTATCCGCAGATTCCGTTGGGTATGGCGTGGAATAGTGGGAATATTGGCGGCAGCTTGAAGAGGGGGACGGGTATTGCTATGCAGGTGATGGGTGGGAATTGCGGAGGTATCGTTGCGAGTTATGTCTATTTGTCGCGTGATGGGCCGAGGTTTATCATTGGGCATAGTATTTTGATTGGGTTTGTAAGGTGAGTTGTTACACTGTCGGATGACGTCGGTGATGCGGAGCTAATATATTGATTGTAGCATGGCGTTCTTCCTCACGTTCTTCATGTCGACGTGGTGTCGGATGGAGAACGCGAGACGCGATAAGATTGCCCTGGAAGCTGGGGCGCAGGAGTTGACCGAGGAACAGAAGCTGCTGGAACGCGAGCTTGCCGATGACGTGCCATGGTTTCGATATACCACCTAGAAGTGGGGTTAGTAGTTCGAGTAGACTGCATATGCCTCTGGTGGCTCTCGACTCGAGCCAGACCTTGATTGTCTTGTGCAAACTAAACCCATGCGGGTCATAACTTCATTATGGCATTAAGAATATAACAGTCTATGTATGATACAATCAACAATTACGCTCAGAGCATTCTGGTGGGTTGCGTAGGCTGCATGGCCCACTCCGGAGGGTCCTCGTCATATCTCCTCTCCGTTGGTCGGCTGACTTGCGTTGGTTGCATAGATGACCAGATCGGAGGCCCCTCGTCGTATTGCGTATCGAACGCACGTTCAGCATTTGGTACCAGCTCGACGGCTTCGGCCTTCTTGACCCTTCTGAGCTCTTGCTCCTCCAAGAGTGTCTTCTTCACCACGCGCATCTTCATATAGATCCAGATACCCATGGCAATAGTGATGACAAAGATAGCGCCGAACATGACCGTCTTGATTACGTCGTCGTTGCTCTCCTGTAGGAGCAGTACACCGAGGTAGACGAGGAAAATTTGCTTGGGCAGAGAAAGGAAAGTAGCGACGACGAAATGCCAGAATTTGACGTCGCAGGTTGAAAATACGGCGGTGGAAAAATGCGCTGGGATGGCGGACAGACGGATGACGAGCACGATGGTGAAGCCACCGTCACGCGTTAAACGAGCCATGGCGCCGTAGTTTAGATTGGTGCGCTCCAGTTTGAGAGCCTTGGAGCGGAAGGCGTATTTGAAAGCGTACCATGTGCCGACTGATTAGGATATTAGTATGCATTGCATGGAGTTGTAATGACATGGTAAGGCTTACCTTCGCCAATGAATGTGCCTGCCGCAACAATGGCGAACCCGATCCACAGACCATAGACGACACCACACAGCAGCGCAATGATCTCATGACCGAATAAAGGAGGGAAAGAAATAATGATAAGAATAGCAATGGGGATTAGCCATCCTGCTGGTAGGTCTCGCACTTTCTCGGACCACGGCCGTAATTTCTGCACAGACACCGTTAGCCACGTGTTCGTTGGCCCCAAGGCAAAACACCGAAGACTCACCTCAACGACGGCGTCGTGTTTTATCGTGATGATAACGGTCAAGATGCCGATAACGATGAACAATATGTGCCATGCTATATGCTGAGTCAGCCAAAAAATGTTCCGTGGTCGCATGGGCGGCGGCGTGGTCTTACGGATGTACTTGGGGGCGAGAAAGAATCTTTTCCAGTCAAACTTCTGGTACTCTGTTTCTTCTGGCGGGCCTTGCGACTTCTTTTTCTTTGGTGCTCCGTCCATCATGCCCGACATTTCAATGTCGCTTTCACGTTTGCGGAACCACATCGCGGAGGGTTAAAATGTGCTGGCGGGTTCCCGCGGAGGAGTCGCCGTGTTAGGAGGCCAGGTTGGGGCGTGACTGCTGCGCGTCCAGGGTCCAAGCGCAAAACGAATGTGAGGTCGTGAGAATCCGTTATCGCTATCTCCCGGCGACGTATGGGGAGCGCAGGTGGTGAGAAGGAACGCTGGGCAAAAGTAGGTCGGCGGTGCGGTTGCAGTGGGTGTTGGTGGCGCGCAGCAGGAAAGGGGAGTGATGTATCAAGCTTCGCAGTGAAACCGGCATAGCCACATCCGCGTAATCCAAGCTCCGGCCAATGGCGACGCGCCAGACGTTGCTATGTGAGACACTGGCGCGGGAGATCGGCGCTTGTGCACCTGGCGCCAGTTTTAAAACCTATCACAGTTTCGCCTGGTTTGCGCATCATTCGATAGGATCGGCACGGAAAATTACAGGTCTTGGGGTTGTGTGCTGTATCCATCGCCGTTGCAAACTCGATACCCGAAGCGCTGGACAGATCTGGGGGTGACTTGTGGCCAGGGTCTTTCACAAGCTCACCGTATAAAGTGGGCGGTGCATGCAGCGCCTCAGCCTTGTTCTCGTGTCTGTTTGGCGTCAGCTCAGACGAAAGGAAAGCCAATATTATATTTAGGTAGCGCCGTTGATCGCTATACATACACGCATCATCAACGTGGATGACCGTTGGAATATGTGGAGATCCCGGCGCGACGCGAAATGCCGCCGTGGCACTCATAGTCGATCCGGTTCAAAGGCATACATAACATGACAGATGCAGCCATGGACAAAGGGTGTTTTCTTCTCAGGCCGAAACGTGATCACGTTTTCACCAATTGAGTCATGCACATGGGCAGGAAGGTGCCCAGGTGGCATCATGATGGTCCTAGCGGCTTGGTCAAAAGGTCCGAAAGTGGAAGGATCTATTGATACGCTTTCCGGCGTTCTATGATGTTTTCCCCCAAACGTTCGTCGACACGAGGCTGCAAGACACGAATCGCCATGAGCGTCATCCTGAGTTCTTACAACTCCCTGTCGGAATGCCCGCGTTTCCGTCATCATGGCACGTTCCGTGTGTCCTACCGGGCTTTACTCTCCCATTTACCTGAACCGGCGAGCGGCTCTCCTGTCTACGAGACGCTTAGGCAGCCACTCATCGTCCTCATCTTCTTCTTTGACATCTAGCTATCTCTCCCTGTTGCGCGTTAGCTACTGGAGTGTTTCCGACCAGATTTTTGACTTACGGTTGAAAGTTTTCGTGGCGCGATGATACAGTAAGAGTTCTGCATTATCTACGATGCTCGTCAGTTCTTGATCAAAAGGTTTCCAAATACCGCGAGGTTAGTCCTACTTACGTGTATATCATAGGTTCCTGCCCCGAATTTGATCCTCAGAAGTGCTGCCAACTTCGCAGGGTCGATGTTACTCCCCGATATCGATTGCGCATCTTCAAGGTCCGACAGATCATCGTCCTCGTCGTAATCTCTTATCGAAGGCCTTGATACCTTCACGTATGCGATTGGTTTGGATGTTGACATTGATGTCGCTTTGATACTCTTTTCAGTGGTAAGAGAGGAGTCTTGAAGAAAGCTGTTGTCTTTTTCTTCTCCACCTCGCGAAGGACGTCACCAGGGTATTTACACACATGTCGTGAGGTTGCGAGCAGGCTGAAGGGCGCGTGCATTACCTTAATTCAGCTGCGGCTGTGCATGTGCCCACAAACTTCAACGAGCTCTCATAGGCAGCGAACGTCAGTCCGCCAGTGCTGCGCCATGCACTTCGGGATGTCATCCCAAACAGCTCACCGGCTGAGACATTGTGGAACCAATCAATTGCATCCGGCTAAATTCTGGTGGCCGTGAAGCAGCCACATCTTACAACCTCAGGCACTGGACTCGAAGACGGGCGATTACCACAAAGGACTGACCGCTCAGCCTTGTGCGGCTCAAGGTCCTCCATGAGGCATCCCTTATAACAATGCGATACGCCCTAGGGGCTGTCTCGAAACTCAGACAGTTGTCTTTGTGCAGTGGACAATGCCTCCCTCGTTCGACATGCGCGTGTTCAGGGCAGACGCCCCGCCAAACAAGGCGCGTCGGAGTCCGGTCAAAGGCCCCGCCCCTCTAAGCCTACGGGGCACAGAACAACGTACGGCTCAACCCGAAACCCACAACTTGCAACTGCCGAATGAAGCAAGAAAGGGAGTATTCATACCAAATCAGTCGGTGACTGACGTGTTGGTACCTGGTTCGCGGCTTCCCGTTGTGGGATCTGGGCACATCTCGCCACCACCTGCCAATCGACTCGATTCAAGCGCTCACTGCCCGAGCGACGATGGTCTTAGACCAAATCAGCATCCAATAGCCTCATACACCGCGCCACGTCGTGACTCTTTCCATAGGTCATCGGACGGTAGCGTACATGATGACGACAGCCCCCGGTCTTTGCGTAAGTCACAATCACCAGATCGTGACTCGCATGCCATCGACTCGCACGCAGAAAGAATCGCGTGGCCGACTGCGCAGTATCGTGGCTCACCAGCCTCATCCATAACATGGATCGATCACCATCCAACAGGGGTTTCCTTGCCCGGGCATGACACAGAAGCTGGAGCAGAGGATACACAATGGGAAAGTGACGAGGTATGCTTCATTATGAGAGACTATAGCTGAGCTTTTCTGATCAGAGTCCCTTCAGCCTACCTCACTTGGTCATTCCCGCTCATTCTCAGAGGAGTCATGGGATCCCGTGCGCGCCTACACGTCGTCACTAGGTCCTCCGGCTTGTCGGAACCTTTTGATCTCACCGAAACTAAGCGTCACAAATATCTCAGACGCTGGTGATCAGCAGCAATTGCGTGAAGAACGCAATCTTTCGCCTCCAGAAGTCTCATTCGACGAGGACCTAGCGCAGTCATTAGCCTCGTTGCCACCCCTAGGCGATAGGTATGAGCTACAACAGGAGATCATGGATGCGCGTCTGAGTACACGAGACAACGAGGGCCAGATCGAGACATTCATTCCCAAGGCCAAATTACGTCATGTGATAACGGTCGACGCTGTAACGCGAGAACTAACTAGGACTGCGATGCAACCCACAGTGCGGCTTTCATCCGAAGAAATACAATCCTACGCAAGGATAGTGTGCACAGAAACTGAGGATGAAAGGCAAAAGGGAACCACCAAAATCACGACGTTTCGCAAAATATTTGCACTCTTGGTGCTAATCGAAGCTGTTTCTTCCATCGTGGACTTCGTGAGAGAGGGGGTCACGGATCAAGATCTACCCCTCGTGAAACATGACGAAACCGGGGAACTGTATCGCAAAGGCGATCAAATCTGTGTTCCTCGTGGTTGCTTCAAGGGGTGGTCACCCTTGAAGCTTGAGAACTTCCAACGCTATCAGTGGTGGCTACTTGCGACATACTTTTCGCCACCCGACGACGACGGAGTAGTAAAGAACTACAAACTCCAAGACCAGCACATCCTCCCTTTCCTCACCCCGGGCAATGCCTTGAGTCAGTCTATTGACAAGACTGGTGGCTACGGGAGAGTAATCATGGTGAAGATACCCTCCGATCACCACAATTTCAGTGACACGCGGCTTTGCGAGCGCGGTTTCGCCGTCAAACAACAAGTTCACGACGAAAATCGCGACGCTTACAAGAGAGAGATAGAGATACTAATGAAGTTCAGTGGCGGGCGAAGTCATCCACACATAGTCTCCTTGCTTGCAACGTATGAACAGTTCAACAGATTCAATCTGATCTTCTACCGCGCGGAAGGCGATCTATTCGACTATTGGAAGAAGCTCAAACCATACCCGGTCCTCCATCACAACAATGTCAACTGGTTTGCCAAGCAGTGTAGCGGGCTTGTCGAGGGTTTGTCGAAACTTCACAAGCTACTTTCGTTCACCAAACCTCAGCTCAAGATCGAGGAAGAGCAATCAGAATACTCATACGGTACGTCACTTCGATAAAAGCGAAAGAGCCGAAGACAACTGCTTTGTTGCCACTTTGTGGGCATTGCTTCGCTTAACAGCGCCCTTTATTGAGTTAACGTATTGCAGAAATTAACGGGAGTATTTCAACCCCGTTGGAAAAGAGTGTGAGATTTGCGCCAATGATAGATCGTGTCGACACGGGCTCGTCGATGCTTTCGAATGGTGTAAAAGAGCGTCCGACGAGCCCACTCAGAACCCACTTCGAATTTGGTGATTACAGTCTGCCGTCGCTTAGCCATCAACTCAACCACTATAGCAATGCACGAAAGAAAGTATACGGCCGCCATGGGGACATTAACCCCAGCAACATCCTTTGGTATGACGACGGCGATAGCGATGACGATGGTTGCACGTTGCAGGGGACGCTCAAAATCACCGACTTCGGACAAGCAGAGATACATTCATTGCAGAGCAAGACTGATCGTCGAGAAAGGCCCAACACGATGACATACCGACCCCCCGAATGCGATTTGCCTGACGCGTACATGCGGCAGTCTTACGATATCTGGTGTTTGGGCTGCGTTTACCTTGAGTTCGTAACGTGGTTGCTAGGGGGCCGTGATCTCGTGAAAAGATTCAAGCGGTCAAGGTCAATGACCGACTACTTTCTTCGATTTACGACTATTGATACATTCTATGAAGTGGAGAAGGACCCTGAACTTCCTGGGATACGGGCCAAGGTCAATCCGAGAGTCACTGCCGTAGGTTACATTATTCGACGACATGGCACACCGCTAACAACATGAAACAGTTCATCGATGAGCTACATCGACACCCAAACTGTACCCTTTACCTGCACGATGTACTGAATTTGATCCAGTTTGACATGCTGGTAGTTGACTCGATGGAGCGCAAGTCTTGCATATATGTGTGGCAATCGCTAGACGCGCTGTACGACAGGTGTCGTCGCAATGCGGATTATGCGACGATGAGCAACCCTTGGTGCAACATGAGGCGTACTGATTCTTCTGTTCAGCAATATGTAATGTCAGCATTGGAGGAGGCCATACAAGACGATCCACCAAGTCCAAGGTCAGAAGCTCCAGCAGTACAACCGATCGCATCAAGAAGGAGACGCTTGAGCCGTATACCCAGACTCAAGTCTCCTTTGGTCGCATAACCTCGAATGGATTGATTGAGACCATCGTTGTGCTGGGCCGGTCGATGAGCAAGGAGCAGGCTATGAGCCGCATTTTCGAATGAGAGCTTTTCCTACAGGGCAAGCTTTGGGGACTTATGGCTAATCTGGAGGTGTTTTGCGCATCGAATTTCCTTGCTATAGCGGTCTGAGCCAGCTGCACATCATCCTGGCTTCGGCAAAGTACTGAGAGAATTCAGGTTTTCGCGGTTCATGTCGCGAGGCTATGCAACGACGACGAGCCTGTCGATCACTGCGTGTGCGATTATGAGCGGTGTGTACAATTGCTTTTTCGTCCTCTCCCACGTAGGCGTTCATGCGCTTCAGGGAACAGGTGGGGTCCACCTGCACCTCGCCTGTGGGGTCCAATATTAACTGCGTCCTTTCGACGCTTCGGGCCATGTTCCCGTCTTTCGCAGCTGAGCTGAACATCGTTCACAAGGCTGAGCGTCACCCACGGCATCAACATCCCGAGGCTTGTACTCTGATTTGATCATCTTAGCAATGTGGCGCACATCCATCACAAATCGGACTTCAGCTTGCAGGCGGCTCTGCAGATTAATCGCATGTCATAAGGTGTTACATGTGTCCGTGAAACCTGGCTTTGCCAACCCCTACGATTGACCTTGGAACACCGCGATCTCGTCCCAGCCAGCAAACTTTCCGAAGATCAGCATACTCCGTTTGCGCATGTCCAGGACAAACTTGAAGGGACACACGTGGATCGAACAAGCGCGATGCTTGCCCAACTTGCCCTGGTCTTGGCCATTTTCGTCATTGGCTATCTGGTGCGGGGAACCAAAGCGCGCGCGGTCCAGCCGACCCGACTCGAGAACCTAGCCAACAACCAGGAGAAACACATCGAAGCACCTACTCTAGCGCACGAATTGAGCGACGATGACCTAGATGACTACAGTTTGCCTGCGATATCAGGTTCTGATCTAGTCGGCACTATACTCGGACGATGTGTATTAGCAACGTTCCACGACCCAGACCGCCAGTACCTGCCAGAGAATGCGATCAAAGAGGTCGTCGTCCAAGCAGCGATCGAACAAGAGCTGGACAAGATCGAGATATATTCAAAAGAGTTCGCTGCTAAATGGAATCGCCGACGTCGGTCTGAACTTGCAACATGGATCCGTCAGAAGGCTCCAAAGCTGTTTGTTATCACCATCCAATGCGACTTCGATCCATCTCGTCTTCTGCTAGCTATGGCTATATTTCGAAAATGCCGATTTACAGACAAAAGTCTACCAGTGGTTGATAATCTGACGAGTCAGGATGTGTTCTCTTCGCAGGTCTGGAGTGAACTCAAAATCCTTAACTTTCGAGATAATCAGTGGAAGTGCTTAGCTCCAGTCTTCGTGCAACGAAAGTACGGCTACGACCTGAAAGCGCAATGCATATTCCCATTCACTTCAGATGGGGCAGTTCCAAAGGACGGCGCTTTCAGTTCGGTATATCGAGTCACTATACACAAAGATCATCATGAATACCCTGAGATACAACAGGTGCGTTGCCAGTAATGTGACCTACTTCAATCCGCTAAATTCCTGAACAGGTGGCTCTTAAGGAGCTGAAAGTGCCACAGGGAGGAGAACAAGCTGCCGGAACTGACAGGGCGTGGAATTTCGAAGCTACTGCTCTCGAAGCTATTCGGAAACTCAATCATGGCCACATCGTGAAATGCATAGCAGCTATACGAAGAGGTCACAGCCGCTACTTCATGTTCCCCTGGGCTGATGGGGATAGCTTACGTGATTTTTGGGACCACACGCCACGGGAGGCTCCAAACGCATGTATCATCGAACACACCATCGTTCAGCTTAGAGGTATCGTCGACGCCTTGGACCGACTACATAATTTTGACGGCGGGCGCCCAGAACATGACAGCGAAGCCAATGGCTTGACGATACGAGTGAACGACCCAACCGTTGTGGAATCGCATCTGAGCGGCGGAAGTGATGCCGGTAGCGAGAACGGGCTTGACAATGAGGTAGACGACTACAAGAACGCGGGAAATGCGGAGTCCATCAGGCATGGTGATCTGAAGCCGGAGAACATCCTCCGGTTTCTTACTAATGGATCTAAGTCTGGCCTTGGGACTCTGAAGATCGCAGACATGGGTTTGGCTAAGCGGCATGTAGTGGCGACGCAAGAACGAGGAAAGGCAACAAGCACCAGGTACGGTACCCGACGGTACGAGGCGCCAGAAACCGTTACTGGTGAGAACGCACGCTCCCGACTCTACGACATCTGGTCCATGGGATGCATCACGTTCGAGTTCATCATCTGGATCCTGTATGGCAATGACGAATTGAACAACTTCTACAAACAGATCGAGGGGAATGCACAACAGATTTGCCAGTATTACGAAGTCTTGGATGCGAGCGAACCGGAAAGTGCCAGAGTTCACCCTGTTGTCCAGAAGTGGATGGACCATATTCAGAACAAGGATCCGGAATGTTCAGCAGGACGCATCTCGGCGACGAAAGACTTGCTCAGGATTGTACGCGAAATGCTACTAGTCGTCAATTTGCCACCCAATAGGAAGAGTGGGACTCTGGGTGGCCGGCCTCTGCTTCCTCCAGCACTCGGTCAATCTATCACACGCTATCGAGCTACGGCCGCGCAGTTTCGGGATGAACTTGATGTCATATTGAGGAAGCAGAATATATCCGGTTATATGTTCACCGGCAAAGACCGCACCAACGTCAGAACGCCAACCTTCACAGCCCCAATGCTATCGCCCAACAGTGCCAATCTCCCGTTAAACAACCTGCCGCCATCAGGATCACTCAAAAGTGGAGTGCTTGGTAAACCTATCGGTGCTGACTACACCCTTCCGCCTCTCAAAGACTGGGAGTTTCAGATCGATAACAACTTCGCTGACAAAGTCGTCGCAAGTACCGGTATACAGGAATTCATACCACAAACACGCTTCCAACATCGACTCTGTGGCTCATGCTCGGCGCAAGATTTCCTAAAAGGCGGTTTCAGCATCGAAGAGCGAGTGTCAATATTGGAAGATCGTGCGCCGCAATGCGATCTGTGCAGAATGTTGTATGAAGTTCACAACCAAGCCGAAGAGCCCAAAGGAGACCGGGCGGTATTCCAGCGAGACCAGTCAAATATCATCATGACAGGCGACTCGTATCCTGTTCTTTCTCTGATCAGAAGTCCAGAAACGGATCTCCCATGTCCAATCCAGATTGGCTTCCCAGAGCTCCCAGAAGCTGGATCAGACGCGTTCTTCAGCATCATAAAGCTTTGGCTCAAAGATTGCGATACGAGCCACGCAGGATGTAAGGGGTTATCCCATAGCTTGCCGACCAGACTCCTCGACGTGGGCACTATCGGTACGCCTATGCTGCGCCTCCTCGAGACGAAGCGAGAGCACATCCCGAGCAAACAGTACATCGCACTGTCACATCCCTGGGGAGACACCACGAAGTACACACCGTTCTGTACTCTGCCAGAGAACCTAGAGCAATATCTTGAAGCCATTCCCGAAGGCGAGCTCCCAGCAACCTTTCATGACGCCGTTGACAGCACACGGAAGATTGGCATCCGCTATTTGTGGGTAGATTCGCTCTGCATCATCCAAGGTGAAAATGGAGACTTCAACGAGGAGTCTAAGAATATGGAGGCAGTCTTTAGTGGAGCATATTGTGTACTCGCTGCAAGCCGAGCGAGCAATCAGCGTGATGGCTTCCTTGATCCTAGGCCGCAGCGTGAGTATATCACCATTCAGCGAGACAACGAAAAGCCCTTCTTCGTCTGTAAGACTATCGATAATTTCAGTAAAGATGTCATCGAGGGGTCTTTGAACAAGAGAGGTTGGGTGTTGCAAGAGCGCGCGCTGGCACGACGGACCATCTACTTCACGGAGAACCAGACATACTTCGAGTGCGGCCAAGGTGTTCGATGCGAAACCCTGGCCAAACTGCATAAGTAAGTCATGACAAGACATATCGCTTGCTCAATCATCACTAACCCAAAGCCTAGCAATATGGCCGATTTCCTTGGTGACCCAAACTTCCCCAACAAGGCCATGCGGGCCAACCGCGCACGGAAGATTGCTTACTTTCAAGGCCTCTACAAGCAATACTCTCGTCTCGACTTCACCCGCTACTCCGACCGTCCTTTTGCCATTGCGGGTCTCGAGAAGCGTCTACAAAGTGCTTTCAACACAAAAGGAGCGTTTGGCATCTTTGACGATGGTGACAAAGAAGACGGCGGACTCTTCCATCGGAGTCTCTTGTGGCAACGCGGCGAAGAAAAGGGGGATCTTCCGAACATGCCCACGATTGAGTTCCCACCAGCGCGCAAGTTGAAAGTCCCAAGCTGGTCCTGGATGGCGTACCGAGGTGGTATAGATTACATCGATCCGCCTTTCGACCAAGCAGACTGGGAGCGCACGGAGATAATCCCGCCCTGGACTCGTGGTAGCAACAAACATTCCACGACAGACACCAGTCCACAGGAGGACGAGATCGCCATCATAGCTCGGGTCCGCGACTTCAAAGTAGCGGGGAGATTGCCAGAGGAGGTCAAGATAACGTATGATGCTGAGAGGACAAGCGCGAGCGACGGCCAAGTCACTCAGTGTGTCATTGTCGCGAAAATGAAGGGTGGAAGCTCGAATTTGCTGAGGCGATACTACGTCTTGCTTGTCACAGCGACGCAGGGGACGACGGGGAGGGGCGAGAAGAGGTATAGGAGGGTTGGAGCGGGGTTCATGTTGGGAAAGTACATCTCATTGGAGGGGGAGGGTATCGCGGCGAGAATCGTTTAATAAAGTCAGTCGTCTGTTGCGCGAGATGGAAGTATATGTTGAAATCAGCTGTCAACCTTTTGGAACTTTGACGCGCTATCACGTGACGTACCTCCCCGCCTCAATTCGTGCGGCGCGGACTGATGCCTGGAGGACGCCTTAACCAATGACGATAACAACATCAAGACGCGAGCCATGCCACCAATGCACCAAGGGACGGCAGCTAAAGTCTGCCCTCTTACTGGAATCACTTGACCTTCCTCTTCTTCTTCCTCTCCTCGTCGCGTCATCATGGCCGAGGCAGCAACACCATCGAATCCGGAACAAGTCGCGCACGATGACCTCTGCCCCGTAAGCACCACACACAAACTCGCGTATTTGTACTAACAAACCCCAGATATGTCAGCTCCTCCTCTTCACGCCCGTGAAAACCCAGTGCAACCACCTGCTATGCGCGTCCTGCATGGCCCAATGGTCCGACGCCTCCAACACGCACCACATCGAACCTACCAGCTGGGACGTGAACCTCGAAGACTTCGATCCGAACTACGATCCAACGTACGACCTCGAGTGCAACTGTCCCATGTGCAGGACCCGTACTGCCGCAACTCCGGATAACGCGTTGGCAAGACAGTTAGAACAGAAATATCCTATTACGTATGCTGAAAGGCGCGTTGAAGAGGAAGAGGAGAGGGGGTCACGTATCGGACGTGATGGCTTCGAGGGCGTTATGATGCTCATAGGGAATAAGCATAGGCTTATTAGGAATGCTGGTGACGATAACGAGCATGATTGGACATTCTTTGTGCGCACGTCGAGGCCGGATTTGATTAAGGAAGTGCATATCTATCTGGTATGTTCTCAGTTCCTGTTTCGTCTCAGCCAAGGGGTGGCTCAATACACGACTGCTCGATGCGGATGATAGCCTCATGGGAGTCCAAGAAGACCACGGAGGCGTGCAATTTGAAACACCTGCGCGCGACCACTTCCTATCGCTGCAGAGCTAACACACGATAGCATCCAACATTTCGACGATCCCACGTCATCATCCGAAAGCCGCCTTATGAGTACGAAGCTCGAGGCTGGGGAACCTTCGTCATTCGTACCGAGATCGTACTCAAGCAGCCGTATAACTGGATTATCGATAATGCTGGCACCAGGCAGCAGGCTCTCGAGCTGGAGTGGCCCCTCAACTTTGAAAGGGAAGGTAGACAGGGCAGAGTGAGAGCCAAAGTGAACAGACTTGATGCTGCAGCCAACAGCATCGGTCGCGTGTTACGGTCCAGGCGTTCACCTCCAAGTGCACCCGTTCCGGATGATGACGATGACGAGCTCGACGACGATTACGAAGCCGCCCAAGACGAAGACGAAGACGACGATGAGAGCTCATCAGATGAGGACTTTGAGGAGGGAGCCAGTGAATACGTTGAACCGTCACGAAGATAGCCACCGTGGACGCCAAAATATCTCCAGCAAGGGCTTTGCGACGTCTTAAATTCGATCACGAACGCTTGCCGATCATCTTCTCGAAATAGCCAACTCAGTGGCAAAGCTCCTCTTTCGGTCACTGAGCTGCGGATATGCATATCTTTGGGCGAAAGAAATCTAATGATTCAAATGTGCTGAAACTGTGCAGGCATTTTAGGACGCGGCTTGCTAGTAATCGCCGAACCGAATACCATTGACCTATACAACCTTTACTTTCATCTGTGTAACCACATGGAACGGTAGGCGCGTGTGTGTGTACTAGTCTGGAAGGGCGTGGTTCGCTGCTCGCATCTCATTCGCTCTTTCCAGCACTTGCGCTGGCATAGTCTTCCAAATTGAGACCTCACCAGACAGCTGAAGGGCTTGGCATGCTACAACGACTTGTGCACTGTCTTGGCAAACGTCAGCAGCCTCGAAGTAGGGACAGTATTCGGCGAGTGAACGAATGCTCAGCCTGGTCCGCAGCATCTTGCGAGACCGAAGACTTGTGCACCCTGAGCTTGTTTGAAAGCTTGGCGGCGCATGCTGGTACGTCCGACATTGGCAGTCATCCTGGCAGATCGGCACGGCTCAATGCTCCTGCACCGCTCACACCGACGCCATGGTTGGCTTGACCGATCTCGGATACACAGAGTTGTATCGTGCAACAACCGCCATGCAGCAGATCTGCAAGGCTCACGGCAGACGGCGCTTCCTTGCCAACAGCTAACGACGCCTCCGTAGCGCAAGCTTCAAGAATACTCTTCGGATCACACAACCTCTCCTGGCATGCATTCGCTCTTATGCAAGCCTCTCCGTTGACACAACGCGGTTTCCATTGCCTGCGCCTCACTGGCATTGCTTCTAGAAGCGTGACACTAGGACCTAACGGCCCCCCATATATAAGATCTAAACGATCGTTCGGTACAGATGGCTCACTTAAGCTTTCCACCACAGCCATGCTACTCTTAAATTGGCCATGTTATGGGGCGAAGGCTTATGACATACAGCGATGGCCTTACTGCTACCCGTCGTCGATTACGGACCGACGCGGTCTGACCAGGTGTTTCACCGTCACGAAGCAACATCCTCGTAGCCGGCGTCTTGTATATATGTTCAGGTGTTGTAGCTGCCTTAATGCCCAGCTCTCTCATCAATCCAGTCATACCACCACCCACGATCATCAGTTTCTTCCATTTGTTTCATCATGGACCTTGCACGTTATTTCAGTTTACGACGGAAGACTACCGGCAGTCACAACAGTACTCACGCAGCGCATGGGAAAGACAGGACTTATCTGCCTCTACTTGCAAGTCCGATCAACGAAGATGTCCTCGAAGTAGTATCGGGTAACTCTTCAGATTTGGAGAAGGTCAACACCCACACAAGCACACTCGACAGTTCGAACGGCACGGCTACATTTGCTGGGAATGGCAGGACAAGTCGCGGAAATATCATCGTTTACAAACAACATACCGAAGCCAGTACAATAGAGCTCTTCTACGATCTCTTCTTCGTTGCGAATCTTGCGTACTTTACAGCTATGCATCAGCATACCGACGCAGAATGTATGTAGAGCTCTAAAAACTTGGATGCACTAGCTAACAGACTACTAGCACTCATCAATTACATCAAGCTGTTCACGCTAATGTGGTTTACGTGGCTGAGCGTCACACTTTTCGACGTGCGCTTCAGCATCGACTGCGTCTGGAACCGTTTTCACAAAGCCATACAGTTCGGCATCTTCACAGGTTTTGTGTATGCCGGCCCCGTTTTCGACAAGTACAGCACCAGCGGTGTCGAGAAATCCTACCGGAATTTTGCTATCGTGCTTGTCATCGGCAGAATCGCAATCGCTGTTCAATACGCCGTAGTTATGTGGCAAGGTCGCATGTTCCGCCAGACATTGATTCCGTTAGGGCTCAGTGCAGGTGTACATGGTGCTGCAGCGATATGCTATGCCGTTACCATGGTTGTATTTCCCAAGGGCCGTGTTGGTCTTGAGGAACAACTCGCATGGTATGTAGTGTACTCCGCGTTCGGTTTCTAGACTAACAGAATGCGTAGGGTCATGATATCCATCATTGAAGGTCTTCTCATCTTTCTCATCGCCATGATATGGCGCATCATCAGTTTCAAGTACACTCATCTAGCGGAGCGGCTGCAACTCCTTACGCTCATCATCATTGGGGAGGGTATCATCGGAATGGTCAAGAGCGTAGCATGTGTTACCAAAAGCCAAACGAGCAACAACATGAGTGAAATTGGAACTGTCATCGCGGCCATTCTTCTCTTGGTATGCAAACAACCCCCCATGTCCCGACAGCAATACTAATATGAGACTTTAGTATCTCCTCTGGATGCTATACTTTGATCAGCTTTCCCATGACCGCTTCGGAACCGTGCGCCAACAAGTATGGGCTCTGCTACACTATCCACTGCATTCGGCAATCCTCCTCTGCGTCGAAGGAAACACCTCTTTCATCGTGTGGAACTCAGCCGTGCAAGCTCTCAAGTGGATTTGGTCTTTTAAACCCGAGAACTACTACGATCCAGCCAATGGTTACTCCGACACCGGCAGCTACATCGACTACCTCAACCAGAGCATGAACGCTATCAACGGGAGATTTAAGAGCAAAGCCTGGAACACTACATACAACTGGAACATGAACTTCACTGCGATAGAGAATTACACTGCAACACACGGCTTCAAATCAGACGAATGGAACAATCGAACCGGCGACGTCACCCGTCATATGTTCGACAGGGCGCAAGTCTTCGTGTACGAGGCACATTATGAATCTCTGGCGAAGCTCAACGCCGTTGCCGCGACTATAGCTAGTCCGCGGAACAAGCTAGACGCCGTTTCTGATGTCTTCAACACTACTACCATGCAGTTCTTCATCGGCGCAGGTTGTCTATTGTTGGTGCTCGCGATCATGTACTGGTTCAACAAGATCCACAAGACGAAGTATGAGTTTGGCGAGATCATCAACAGAGTTGTTGTCGGCTTTACGCTTATTATACTCGGAATCTCTGTCGTCATTGCGGACAAGACCACCAGTGGTTTCAAGTTCAAGGGGAGTCATTGGATGACTCCCATGGTGGTGCTGTTCTTTGCTGCAGGTAAGTGTCCTCCGCATTTATGATCGAAAGACTGAGACCATATGCTAACTTCTTTGCCAGTACTGTTTTTTGACAACATCTTACTTATCGTCGCACAATACACCAGCCGCCATCCCCGTCACTCGCACAACCGCGATATCTCATGGGGTAACAGGACCCTGAACAACGATAGCGACGACAATGAAACTGGTGGTCTCATATCAAAATAACCCAGCCGCGCACCAAGCCCCAGCGGCACACCCAAAGGTGCGCCTCGCAGCCGAAGTCACACCAACACCTCCCTTGAACAGAGTCCAAACCGCGTATACACCATTCGCAGACTCGCCGCCTCAGCCCCGCGACTTTGTCACAGGTCCATCAAACGGCAAGGCTAGGATGCTAAGTCACAGTCCTGGCCCAGCGGTTGACAGTGAAGCCACACTCCAAGGTGAAGGCAACCACGCAGGGCATGGCCACGGCAGGGCAAACACGGCTGACTTCTCGTACGAAAACACGCCTACCAGTGCTTTACCCAGGAATCAAGGGCTAGGCATTGGTATCACGGTTCAGCGAGCCAGTACACCCAGCTTATACGGTAACAATAACCAGGATCGTGACCTGAGAGAGAAGGCTACTTGGAAGAGCTTGGGCGTGATGACTGAAAACGATTATGAAGGGAGGGGATATGGTGATGCTGGATTGCAGCAACCGATGCGTGCAAGGGCTGTTAGCTTTGAGAATCATGGGCCTGGCGCTTGATCATCTCTATTGTCATGGCATTCGTCGCGCATATGTGGTGGATGAATTGATAGTTTAGCGTGCATTTTGTCGGTGTTCTGTACTCTTTGAATTCCAGTCGCAGCGCCTTGCGAACCTCCAGTTTTGCAGTCTAGCTTCTTATTCTCGTTTTGCGCTTAAAAAGCGTAGATCGTAGTCAGCCATTACTTTTAGACATTTTATATCCTTTATTTCCTCGCCGTCGTGTACCTCATAAAGCCAGCACAATTCCGCATCGGGCAGAAGCAATGGTTCTGGAATGACTATCACATCATAGCATCTCAATTACCCAAATATCGAATCATCTCAATCCATTAGGTACTCACCTTCCTCTCGCATCGTAACTCCAATCTCCACATCTCATACTCTCAACCAGCCACAGGCACGCTTTCTGCCCGGGCACCAATCACAACACGAGGCTAAACAGCTAGCGACGCAAGGCTGCAGATGCGGGGCAACCCTTAACGCTTACCTCGCCCCTCAGCAAGGCAGCCTACTTGCTGCTGGCTGCGGCGCAGTGCGGATCACAAGGCGTAGACTTGGTAAGACTCCCGAGGACGGCTACGTGGTTGTAAGCATCATCATCCAACTCTATTCCTTTTTCCCCTGTTACACGACGTCTGCACGCGGAACCGTTATTGTTGTACGAGCGCTTGCAAGTGCGAGAATCTTTGTTGCGGACGGCACGGCATAAGATCTGCACTAAGGAAGAGCGGTAAGGGACTGTGCGAAAAAGGGGCTTGGCACCGATTTTACGTTCAGCGGGTTTACGAGGATACGACGCGAAGTGCCGAGGTTGATCGCGCAACGTGGTTTTCGCGACGTGTGGTTCAGCGCAGGGGAACTTTGCTGGCGACGACAGACAGACTGAGCAGGAAGTAACAATTGAGTCGAGGACGGGTTGCGCATCGCTGTGATTCTTGTTGCGCCTGGTGTGCGGATCGCAGAGCCAAGAGCGTGGGAAAGTCGTCATACTCGGGCGAAGGACGCGACAGAAAGGGGCGGAGGCAATTCGAATTGACATTGAAGTAGCGATTGAAGGGAGCCAAAAGACGTGAAGGGAAAGAAGTAGGAGTCGATACTTCCATTGCGACACAGCGCTGCGTCAAGACACCTACAAACGAAGAGGGACCTTGGAAGGGAAGCCCCGGACAAAGACAGCAACAACGACGACAACGACGCGAATCCCGCAGGACACCGTCGATCCACCATATCGAAGCTTCTCACGAAACTTGCTCGTGGCTAGCAACCTGCAGCATCATATCGCCATTGCTGCCGCCACCCAAACTTATTCTTATCTTTAAACCTCATCACCGCGCCCGCCAGACATTCACCAAAGGACACGACCAAACCCATCGCCATGCTCTTAACAATGTCAACCACACACCCGCGCACACATGAGTTCTTATCTCTACTTTCGCATTGGCACGTCCGCAAGGCCGAAACAACATTTCTCAAACGCCTCAGCATGCGCGGCTTAGAAGTCGTCGCGCTCGCAGCAGCTATGCTCTTCGTTCCACTTACCATGCACCGCGCGGTACAAGGCCTAGACGAGATATACGAACTACTGGGTCGAAGAGCGCAATCACCGTATGCGACGACCTCATGGATGAGCATAGCCGCCGCTGCGACTATGCTACTAGGATGGCACATCTGGCTCGGTCGTCTGAGTTACAGAACCATTTTAGAAGCGGGATCGATACCTTTGGAAACAACTAGTACCACGGAAGAAAAGGAGTACCTGAAAGAGAAGAAGGTACAAGAAGAACGGATATTGTGGGGTCGCATATTCAGCCGCCTCGTCATACCTTGTCTACTTCTCACACTGGGTTCGCACTTCGTTTTCGAAATCTTCACGCGCATCAAGGATCCCAGACCGCGGATTACGCTGAATACTGTGGATATGCAGGAAGCTACAGGGCAGTTGTACGGCTTTCGATGAGGAACAGTATTTCCACGTCAGACATTACTGTAGGATTGGCTAGTACGGAAGGAAGGTGCAGATATGGCATGCGACCTCCACAAAACACCAACGGCGGACATATCGAAGCCCGGACGTCAACACCATACTGCAACGAGCACCCCGGGGTTTCACACGCAATCCACCGCCCGCGGTGAAAGATAAAGACCTCAACACCCGGTGGTTCGTCTTACGAGTACGTACCCCAGGATATACTTCGGCACAACTCCGGTCCCACGCCACGCCGCAGCAGCAGCAGTCTCACCCATACCCTACGACATTTCTCTCCGCATGATGTCATGTCGAAGACGACTTTCTTGTCCCGTTGATCTACCCCAGACTCGGCCTTATTATTTACGTCGCACAAGGTATTGCGACGAGTGAGAAAAGGCGTGGCTGCGTTGGGCATCCAGCCAATGTTCTTGGCCAGAGCGCACGTGGACGCAAGCGAAGTTGGTGTGCGTGGAGGTATTCGGCCCGATTTTCGGGGGGCGAAGTTGGGTGAAGGGCCGAGTGGGTTGACGGGCCGGATGGGGTGTTAGCGCGGTTGGTTGCACGTGGTGAGGCTGAGGAAATGGGGATGGTGTTGTGGTATGCAGGCAATAGCACTCGGGGAGATAGCAGTGCGATACATTTGTTTTTCTGACGAGGCTGGGAGATATCAATCAATTGTTGGGGGCATGGCTATGAAACTGGTATCGCACGGAATGTCAAGCGAGAGGGTGGCATAGCTTGCGAGTAGACAAAGATATCTGTGCTTCATGACAAGGCGTAAGATGGCAGACGTCGGATTGGTAGAAACACTGTTATCAAACTGGATGTCTGATTCTTATGCGGTCTACGGAAGTGATTGTGAAGATAATCTGAGCATCCATCCCCCAGTAGATGAAGACTATCTACAGGAGTTCTGCGGCCTTGATCGCACATGGCTTCATCAATGCTACAGGGCGAGACCGAACGAGCTATCAATCTATAGAAAAGCATATGATCCAGCCCGAGTTACACAGTCTGGCATGCTTCGCATTCTACGCCGGGTCAAAAATCTCAGGGCCGCTATACTCACAGGTACACTACTACTACCGTCCACCCATCTTCAACTGGAGGATGACAGCACCGGTGGATCTAGACAAACCATCCTACGTCAGATCGCCCACGGAGATATCTCGAGCCGCAAGCGTACCGCATACGAACCGCGGTAGCGTACCGTAAGACTCCAGTGGTACCCTTCCACATGACGGGCGTCTGGCTCGCGACAGCGCAACGTCAGAAACGTGTACCGTACCACGGTCTCGGGGGTATTGATAGATAGCGCATGTCTAGCGATGATCACATGTGTTAATTCCATACTGGGCGTTTCTCCGCCAAGTAAAGCATGTCCGGGTGTTGCGATTCCACAAGGAAAGTGTTTTCCGACGGGGAAGGACCGCGTTGTTCAGTCTGTCAGCTACGATGGTCAATACGCGACAACTGCTCCATATTACCTCTTTCTGCGATGTGATCCAGTATCCCACGTTGATACCAAGAGATAGAGCGTCCAAGACCTGTATCGCGGTTCCGCAGTCTTAGATGAAGCTTGGTCTTCAGTCATCCATTTTCCGTAAATCCAATAACATGATCAGTCCACGATGTGAACAATGCGGGGAAAGATGGAGCCGTCTGGCAATCCCGGTTAGACAATCCACACGTTATCAATTGCGGAGAAGGTCCTGCAAGGTACGGACATCGAGCCAAAACGACGTGAACCAGCATGAATAGTGTGTTCGCGGCAGTGGGAGGCTCCAATGCGTCAACCCGGAGGCGTGGTGTAGGCGGGATCGCGGTGCGCCACCAGCGGTACCGGGATGCTGGCGACGGGATCAGTTGAACGTTTTGGGATGTAAAGAGCGATGTTATATATCGCGCACCGACGCGAACATGGCTGGAGATGGCCTGAGGTGTCGTCTTCCCTTAGTCGAAGGTCCGAGATAAGCTCAATGGTGTTGCAGCGTTCGAGGCACGGTCACGTAGATGCACATAGGATCTATGATCCGAGCGAATCAGTGGCTGTCTGCCTCGAGAACTTAAGTTTTCCCGCGGTCTTTTGTCAAGGATGTCTGCAGCTGCGCCGAAAATCTGGCGATAAGACATGTAAGACATTAGGCCCACCTCACGACCGAGTTTCTGGGTCTTAAGGCCTCAGATCCAGCCTGTAAACATTGACCACCCTTCGATGCAGGCAACTGCGTGCATGGGTGTTGGTGAACTGATACGGGTTGATAGTGGCGTACGCGGGGGCTGACGCGAGGCGCATCGAGGCAGATATGGTGG